GCGGGGCCTCTAAGGGGCGGTACGCGGGGCCGACGGGGCCTCTAAGGGGCTGCGACGGGGCCGTAAGGGGCCTCTAGGGGCGAGCGCGGGGCCGACGGGGTCGCTAAGGGGCGGCGCGCGGGTCGCTAAGGTGCGGGTCGCGGGTCGCGGGGCCTTAGGGGGCCGTGAAGTACGAAGCGCTCTAGGGCGCAGGTAGGTAGGTAGGTAGGTGGGCCCTAAAAAAAAAACGGTCCTAGCGAAGGACCTGCTCTGAAACCATGTTGAAACTAACTGGCAGGAATGGGAATGACTAGCAAGAATGTGAGTACAAATATGCAACCCTAGAATTTGTGTACCCCCTAAAGGCTAACCCACTGTAGCCTAAACAACAACAACAGATATAATGTTTGACATAACGGACTGGGCGCTCTGGAGAATAAGGATTCGTTTGAACAGGTTGGGAGGGGCGTTTCTATGAGCTCTGGCGCTCAAGGCGCTCTGAAAGAGAAGGAAGTAGAGTGCGTTGAAGATGCTGAGGAAAGAAAATTGGTGGGAGTGGACACGCAGATAAAGTCGTGGCTGGGAGAAGGAACAAGCAGGGCGATGGCAATGGTGGCAGCATGAACAGGTGGAGATCTAGGGGCTGTAGGTTCAGCCTTGGTAGGTGAAGCTACAGGAGGGGGGGATGGAGGAATGTGCCTAGTAACAAAAGCGTCAGCAATCAGTGTTCTGAGTGGACCTCCTGCAGTGAGTGTTCTGAGTGGCCCTCCTGCAATGAGTGTTCTGACTGGACCTCCTGCAGTAAGTGTTCTGAGTGGACCTCCTGCAGTGAGTGTTCTGAGTGGACCTCCTACAGTGAGTGTTCTGAGTGGCCCTCCTGCAGTGAGTGTTCTGAGTGGACCTCCTGCAGTGAGTGTTCTGAGTGGATCTCCTGCAGTGAGTGTTCTGAGTGGACCTCCTGCAGTGAGTGTTCTGAGTGGCCCTCCTGCAGTGAGTCTTCGGAGTGGCTCGGTATACTCTCCTGATTTTGAGTCGACTAAAAACCGGCATATTTTCCTGATCGGAGCTCCAATGTCAGCAGCAGAAGTTCTAAGAAAACCGCGCCTTTCTCCTCTGCCCCTTCAGCCTGTGCCTGTTTCGTACACTCCATCCTTCCTGCTACCTCTACTCCATCCACCTCTGCTGATGTGCTACACTCCACCCTTCCTCCTTCCACTGCTCCTTCCACCTCGACCTCTTTTCGACACCCCATCCTTCCTGCTTCCTCTAATCCTTCCGCCTGTACCGATGTGCTACACCCCACCCTTCCTCTTTCCACTACTCCTTCCACCTCGGCCAGCCTTAGTCACTCCAGCCGTCGGCCTGCTACTTGGGAGTGCAGTGTCGATGTTTCTGGGAAAGTGATGATGCCAGGAGGGGATGGGTCACTGCAAGAAGCAGAGGATATAGTGGAGGTACCCAACATGATGGCAGGCCCATCTTCAAGCATGCTCGCGAGCTGGCATGCTGAAATGATGCAGCATGCGCCTGCCATGTTGTGTCCGTTTGATCCGCTCGGAAGGCATCATGATCATGGCATGCAGTATGCTTTAACCATGTCCCGCATGCCTTCTGTATGTATGAGTCCGCCCCGTCAGCGTCACCAGAAACATCGGCTGCAGCGACAGCGGCGGCGGAAGCAGCAGCAACAAGAGCAACAGGGGCAGCAACAACAGTAGCAAGGGCAGCAGCAGCGGCAGCAGCAGCAGCAGCAGCACCACCAGCAGCAGCAGCACCCGCAGCAGCAGCAGCAGCAGCAGCGCCATGCGTCAAGCATCTGGCAACAGAACTGCAGGAGGGGCAAGGCAGCTGTATCGAGCGCTTCTGCAGACCACAGAGCCACAACTTTTCCAATTGAAGAGTGGAGACTGGAGCATGCGTTGAGGAGCCTCACCTCAGACCTGGAAAACAACCACACAGCCGACACTATGTCAGACCTTCGTTGTCAGATTCTATTCTCAAGCCTCATCACAAACCTCATTCCAAACCTGCACGTCTGGTGTTTCGAAGCCACAGCGTACTTTCCCCTCTGGAGCTGCGGGTTGCCAGTTCTTCAACCCCTCAGCCCGAGCCGTCTGTGGGAAACACTGGTCGTGTCGGTGATGTGAGCGCTGCAATAGGTGTTGGTGCTGCCTGTGGCATTTGTGCTGTGGGTTGCACAGGTGGTGTAGGTTGTGTGAATAGCAGTGTGGCTGTTGCTCCCGGTGTCGCCGATGCTGCCCATGTTGCCGGTGCTGCTGGTAATGCCGGTGTTGTTACTGATGCTGCTGCTGTTGCAAGTGATGATGCTGTTGCCAGCGCCGACCACCATGAGCAACAGCAGCAGCAGCAGCACCATCAGAAGCAGCAGCAGCATTTGCAATCCATTCTGCAGCATCAATTGCATTTAGTGCACCAGCAAGAGCAGTGCCAGCAGCAGCAGCTGTCACATTTTTAGCAGCAGAATCAGCTGCACTTAGTGCACCAGCAAGAGCAGTGCCAGCAGCAGCAGCAGTCACATTTTAAGCAGCAGAATCAGCTGCACTTAGTGCACCAGCAAGAGCAGTGCCCGCAGCATAAGCAGTCGCATTTTAAGCAGCAGCATCAATTGCACTTATTACACCAGCAAGAGCAGTGCCAGCAGCAGCAGCTATCGCATTTTAAGCAGCAGAATCGAGCAGGTTACCTGATCGACGTGGTCGACCACCAGTGCGCGCCCTGGTCGACGAACCCCTCGTCGACCATCGCGCCTGTCGAACTGCCTTGGTCGACAGCCCCGTCGACCAACACAGCTAGCTGCAGTCGTAGAGCTCCAGTCCTCGACAGCTGCCCGCAAGTTCCACGCGGGTCGACGAGTCGAACTAGACCGCCGGCTCCCATCGTCGGTGGCATCGCAGTGGTCGCCTGCAGGTCGACACCCTCATCGACCAGCACACGTCGAACCCCGCAAAACAGTCGGCCGCACCAGCCGCGCGCCCGACCAGGAAGTCAGCGTCGCCCAAGCGAGGGCGGCGCCAACACTTCACTCCCGTTAACAGAAGATTGAGAGTCGTTCGAACCAGTTTGCGTCACCCCAAACGTCCGATCAGAAGTGACATTGGAACCAGCTTTCAGCGCGTTTGCACTAAAGTGACATTCACAGCAACCATTCCTTCCGTCACTCGCCTCAAGCAGGTCAAGAGTGCAATCACCCCGGCCTCCCACTCTCGGCAAGGCAGGTTTGGTGCCAGCCTGCCAAAGCCAGAGCAACAATTAAAACATGTGGGACGTGCGAAGATGTTTCTGCCAGGAGTGAGATTTGTCAAAGGCGTGAAGGGAACTTTTAGGAGGCAGGTTGCAATTTTTAGGCACCTTACCTTTCAACCACCATAGAGGTTTCCACGAGGGTACGGTACAATTGTACCTGAGCCCTCTAGCTCGGTTACAACCGTGGGTGGTATTTTTTGCATTGTATAATGTAATTTCACCTCCAAAAAAAATCATAAGGCGAATGTGGTATAAGACGCGTAACGAATGGCTTCGTAAGACATGACAATGCCACGTCACCGCACGACGATACTCGACTTCCCCCAGAGTCTCCACTCTCCGCGGTTTCAATCAAGTGTACGTCTTTTTGAGCCAAACCAAGCCCAACCGAATGATGCGAATCCATGCGAAGGCCAACTCAGAATACACAAGAGTAGCACCTCCAAGCCCTTCGCCGTAATCACATCCCCGCGGGATTTGTTCTGGGCTGTTCCATGCACCTGCTGATCAAAATGCTTTTCGAATACTGTAGAATGCACTCTCCATGCGCCTCTTCAGAACCAACCGTCGAAACCCTAACCGTCCCCGTCACGGGGAAGACAACATAAACTATCAATGGGAATCATATCTGGAACCCTGAACCATGCACGTGACGGGGAAGGGACAAGTACAAATCCGTACAGCACATTAGGGCCGACCTGCCCCTTCCCTGGCAGCAGATATTTCCCCAACCCCATAACTCTGGAATTCAGAAATGTAGAGAAGCCACAACCCATTCTGTAGTGGAGCAAAGGAATGTGCAATGCAGCAAACCAAGTCAGCCAGTTGTGCAAACTTTGCTATACTAAAAGTGCTACAGTAGCCATATCGTCAAGAGCACACCACGACTACTATCAGCAATCTTTCTGCTCCTGTCAGTGACAGCACAGGTGCCACCAGTGCACGGAGCCTCAAAAATAGTACTTCCCCTGTTGTCGCCTCAAAACCAGACCACGTGATAACTCTAGTATCCCCTCTTGGGAGACCTTCTGAAACTTTCATTTGAAATTTAGGAGCCGCCTCCGTCTTTCCTTTTTCACGAGAGCTTTAGAGGTTTTAGTAGGTGGGGTAACCTGCGAGCCCCGGCAGTTACATTGCCTCAGCAACCTTGCAGCAATAGTAGCAGATGCCACACCCGCAGCAATTCTGACACAGAAGATGCCACATTAGCGGATGCAACAGTAGTATCTCAGATGGAACAGCAGCAGATGCAACCCGAGCAGATTCAACAGATGCCACAGCAGCAGATGCCACAGCAGCAGATTCAACAGATGCCACAGCAGCAGATGCCACAGCAGCAGATGCCACAGCAGCAGATGCCACAGCAGCAGATGCCACAGCAGCAGATGCCACAGCAGCAGATGCCTCAGCAGCAGATGCCAGATCAGCAGACGCAACATCAGATTGAACAACAGATTCTGCAACTGCACATGTCACAGCAGCAGATGTCACAGCAGCCACAGATGCCACAACAGCTTGCACCATGGTCCTATACAACGCGGCCTCTACAGCCACAGCCACAGCCACAGCCACAGCCACAGCTACAGCCAGAGCTACAGGCTCAGCCAGAGCAGCTTCCATCACACCGGATCCAGCAGCTCTCCTTGCAACTACAGCCGTTGCTACAGCCGCACTTGTCTCAAGCACTAGAACAAGGTGAGGCTGCCGCTGATGCAAGGCCCTCAGGGCCTCTACTGCGTGAAACCAGGCGCAGCAGAATGGCTCGCAGTCGAAACTACAACCAGCCGGGGCATTACCGGGGAGTAAGGAAGCGCGGGGAATTTCGTTACGTTGCAGAGATTAAAGACAGCAAGGGTGGGGTTCGCAGGTGGCTGGGCACCTTTTCTTCTGCTGAGGAGGCCGCTCGTGCCTTTGATGACGCTGCTTTTGAGATCCAAGGATCCAAGGCAAAGCTTAACTTCCCAAGGAGGCATATTCAGAAAAGGGGAGGGGTAGTAGGCTCTGACTCTGTAGCGCTATTAGGAGGAGCAGCGGCTAGTATGGAAGCAGCAGGAAGGGATGCAGGGGTGGATGGTGGAGCGGCAGGGGTGGATGGTGGAGCGGCAGGGGTGGATGGTGGAGCAGCAGGGGGGGATGGTGGAGGAATGGGCATGGGAGAGCTGCCACATGGGGCTGTAAGGCAGGTTAGGGAGGGCAGTAGTACTAGGAGCGGGGAAGGGAAAGGGAAGGAGGTAGGATATAGTGACGATTCCGCGGAGGGGGCATTGATGGGAGAGGCTGTGGGTCAGACAATACGGCCGGCAGAGGGAAAGATCAAAAAAGAAGCAGTGAAATTTGCTGTGGCTCAAAGGCCGTTTGGGGAGGGAACAAGTAGGGTGGTAGCAGTGAACCTCGCGGTGCCGCAAAGGTTGTCCGAAGTGGGAACGAGCGGGCCAGCATTTACAAAAGAAACAAGTGCAGAATTTGGGGTTATAGGAACATCGCTGGTACCAGCTGCAGGTATGGGACGGGGAGGAGGAGGAGGAAGATGGGGAGGAAGAGGAGGAGCAGGAGTGGGAGGAGGAAGAGGAAGAGAAGGAGTAGTAGGATTTGCAGCAGAAACGTCAGCAGGCAGTGATAATGGGAGCAAAGCAGGAGGAATATACATCCACGAAGGAAGATCCACTGTGAGCGGTAGTGGCTCGAGCTTAGCTGCACCTTCCTCCTCCTCCGCCCCTTCCACCTCTGCCAATTCCGCCTCTGCCACCCCTGCCTCTGTCTCTGCCCTCCCATCCACCTTTGTTGATATCCCTGTCCCTGAAGCAGCACCCACCAGCGGTCAGCTCCAAGAGGGCAACCCAATGTTTACAAGTGCCGCAATGAATCGGCACTTGATTCTACCGGAGAAGCCGCCAAGTGCCATGGTAACGGGACAGGGGCTGCTGGGATTCAATGCACTGGGATCACATCTGGAAAGGGCTGGAGGGTTGGGATTGGAGGAGGTGGGATTAGAGGGGTTGACGGAAAGTGAGAGTGAGCTGTTCTCTGAACTAGCAGCACAGTTTGCTCAGCAGCTGGGGGGGATGGAAGAACCCGATGGGGGTGGGGCGAGTGGGGTTGGTGGTATGGCGAAAGGCAAGGAGGCAGTGGAAGAATGGGAGGCGTCTCCAGGGGAAGAAAGCAGTGGAAGCAGTGACACTAGTGATGGGGAAGGGGCGATGGAGGAGGAGGAGGGTGCGATGGAGACGAAGACGGGAATGGGCGAGCATTTGGCTGGCCTTTTTTCCCATGACAACGGGGTGAAAATGTTGGTGGGAACGGGGGCCGTGCCGATAGATATGGCATCTGATCAGCACTACTACCAACTGCCTGGCACCAAGGATGCGGTTCACGAAAGCAGCCGTTCGTCTACTTTTGAGGCGCCTCAAAAGTTGGCATCTGATCATCACTACCAGCTGCCTTACACCAAGGATGCAGAGAGAATTGCGTTACATGAAAGGAGTCTCCCGAATCAAGGATTGCCAAAGCAGAGAGGCGTAGGGATGGAGAGGCAGCAGGGAGGCTGCACTTTCTCTGAGGGTGAGAACAGTGCTGGTATTGACATGATGGCATTGCAGCCAAGCCAACAGGCCATGCCAGTCCAAGGAGCTATGTCTGCAGCATTGGATCCATACTCCCGCTTGCATCAGCCAGGTCAACAGGGTCAATGGGGTCAACAGAGCCAGCAGGGACAACAGGCAGAACGGGGTCAACAGGGTCAACAGGGCCGCGGGGCAGGTGTGGTGGTAGGTGCAGCAGCAGGGGGACCTTCTGGTAGTACAGTTGGGCTCCCAGCACTGGCAGCCGGGCAGCAGGCTTTGGCAGGAGCGCAGCACGCACTGATAGGGGGACAGGCAGGGCAGCATGCGTTGTCTGGGCAGCCAAGAGCAGGGAAACATGCAGTGATAGGGGAACGGGCGTTGGAAGCAGGGCAACGTGTGTTGGCTTGGGGGCAGACAGCAGGAATGACAGTCCCGGAACACTTCGTTGGACGGGCAACAAGCGAACCAGAAGCAGTTTCATGGGGTTTCAGTGTGGAAGTGGCAGGGGGTATGATGACGCATACCGAGGATGGTAGTTTGGAAGAAGCAGAGGAGGCGGTGGCGGTATGGAACATGGCAGGTTCAGCTTCAATCATGCCTCCCCGTTGGCATGATGATTTGATGCAGCATGCGTTTGCCATGACGTCCCCATGTGGGCCGCTTCAGAGGCATGATCATGGCACGCGGTATGCTTTCACCATGTCCCGTAGATCTTCAGTTGTTGTGATTCCGCACGTGCGCCGGCATCACGAGAGCCAACAGGAGGAGCAGCAGCAGCATCAGGAGCAGGAGCAGCAGCAGCATCAGGAGGAGCAGGAGCAGGAGCAGGAGGAGGAGGAGGAGGAGGAGCAGGAGCAGCATCACCAGAACCAGCAGCAGCAGCAGCAGGAGCAGCAGGAGCAGGAGCAGGAGCAGGAGGAGGAGGAGGAGGAGGAGCAGCAGCAGCAGCAGCAGCAGCAGCAGCAGCAAAAGCAGCAGCCGCTCAGTTCATCAAGCTTTCCACGGCGCAGCTCGTTCAACCTGAAGGCTGGTAGGGGCGGCAAAGCACCTGTACGGTGTGCTTCTGCAGGCTTCATACGTGAATCTCTGCCCATGGAAGATTGGATGGAGCAGCAGGTGTTCACAAGCCACACCCGATACCCGGAAAGTGACGACACGATTTCCAAGCTCTCCGGCCCTCCTTGGTCCGAGCCTCAACCCCAGATTCATTTTATGCCTCGTTCCAAACCTGCGTCACCCATCATCAGAGCGCCAACCCCTGCTTCCCAGCTCGGAGTGGGCAACATAGGTAGAGTGAGTGGTGTGCGTGGTGCAAGTGGTACTGGTGTTGCTGGTGGTATGGGTGTTGTTGGTCCTATGGATGTTGTACCTGCTGCAGCTGCCAATGCGGGCAGTGGGAATGACGTGAATCTTACTTTAAAGGCTCCTGCCGGTGATGCTGGTGACGCTACTGGTGTTGCTGGTGTTGCTGGTGTGGCTGGTTTTGCTGGTGTCACTGGTGTTGCTAGTGCCTCCGGTGTTGCTGCTGCTCCTGGTGTGACAGCGCTGGCGTCCTACCCAACCGTAAATTTCAAACCAAATTCTTCTTCCCCTCTCCTCAGGGTGAGGGGACACCAATCCCATGATCAGGGTCCAATGGGAGCAGGACAGCTGGACAGGGGAATGCTGCGTACTCCGATATTCGAGCCAATATTTCCGGCAAGAAAGTACGCTCAAGGGATGCACAGACAGGCGGGGAAGCAGCCTTGGTTACCTACCAGCAGGTACGGACAAAGGGTGCTCCAGCAGGACCAACAGAGGCCGTTCCTGGATGAGAGACAGTTGCAGCAGCAGCAGCAGCAGCAGCAACAGCAGCAGCAGCAGCAGCAGTCGTGTTCAATCCCTCACCAGCAGCTGCAGTTCGTGCAGCAGCAAGATCAGCTGCAGCTGCTGCAGCATCAAGGGCAGCTCACTGAATTCCAGCAGAATCTGCCCTTCCACTATCAGTCCACTCCCCCCATAACACCTGCTGCTCTCACCTCCTGTGCCGTGACCTGTACTGCCGCTGCTGGAGGCATTGGTTCCAGTTTTGCCGCTGGCACTGCCACTGGTGCTGCTGCTGCTGTCACGACTTCTGTTGGTGCTGCTCCTGTTGCTGCTCCCGGAGCTGGTGTTGATGTTTCAGTCTCCCACTCGCGCCGTATCCTTCTCCCTCCTTCCTATCCGCCCACCAAATTTTGTGGTACGCCGGGCTCGCATGGATACAGCAACGCAGAGAAGAGTGGTATTGAAGCCTTGGCGCATGATGCCTCTGAGAAAATCACTGGCTCCGAGACACGTGGCGCTGGGAGCATTGGAGCAGATGTTGTGATGGAGGAAACTGAAACAGACGGCCTCAGGCCTGCGTATGATGCTGGTGCTGCTGCGCAGCCTAGCGCTGACCATCTGCGTGCCGCTCAGCCTTGCTATGAGCAGCTGGACTTCCAGCAGCATATCATGGCAGACTTGACCCTTCCTCTGCCTCTCCCCTCAACGGATCCGTTTTTGCTCCTGAGAGGTGCTGAACACTCTGCTTTTTCTCCCTGGGGCCTCATCTCACCATCTCCGCGCATCACGGGAGCAGCCTATCATAGCTTCGGGAACCATGCCCCTGCTGCCCCGTCCATGGCTGCTGATGCAGGAGCACTAAGTCCTGGCCTGGAGGTTGGGAGGCAGGCCACTGAGGCAGGGGGGTTGTATTCAGGGGATGGGGAGTTGGAGCATGAGGGGGCAATCACCCCAGGTGCTGGATCCTACACTATTGATGCGCTAGAGAGGTTCTTGATGGATAATGGGGAGCATAGGGAATAAGCGTCAGGGGTAACTAACGTGAATTATATTTTCTTGATTTTTATGAGGCATTTTTTCGCTTGTTATTCGTCAAATAAGTGTATGTGGGGGAGGGGAATGTGGGGAAACAGGGGTTGAAATGGAAAAAAAACGGGGAGTATTAAATGGGAGTGGTTCTTTTTTATTTTTCTGGTCTGTGCAAGAACTTGGATTTCATGTCCATGGATTATATTATTAATATTATTATTTTTTAATCCAATGTATTTGACTTTATGACACATAGCATTTGCGTTTATGACATCAGATACTTCGAACCTGCAGATTAAGACACCTATAGTTGCATAAAGTCAGAAGGGGTGTCTATCACCTCTATATTCTGGAAATGTGAACCTTAGGGCGCGTCCCCTCCCTCGATCGATCCTACGCATGATCGATCCTGCGCTCGGTTTAAAAAGGTTCAAAAAGTCGAAGAACAATCAAGAGTTGAGTGCGGTGGACGATCGATTTTGCACGATCGATCGAGGGAGGGGACGCCCCCCTAAGTCATATGCAGTTTGATACACACCATGCCCAACCAATGCCCGCATATCTGGTCTGCCCAATCCCGATCGCTTGCCCTTTTACAGTTAGGGACGGGCAGTTGCCCACACCTTACAGACCCCGTGTACAAGTGGTTTGGCGAGCGCGGCTCGTCAATTTGGCGACGTGGGGATGGAGACAGCTTTTGTTGCCCCCGAGATTTGACAAACCGCGCTGTAAAAACCACACGTACGCCACATAGCGCGGGCAAGGTGTTTCAGACGCGCAGCGCGGCGGAGCAATGTGCCACGCTGACGATGTTGACGGTGTCGCAATGTTCGATTACAGCCCCACCTGTCACCGCCTGTGTTCACAAACACAACATGCCTGCAACAAACCATTGGTTACATGCAGACACAAAGTCCTAAACACAATCAGGTTCATGTGCTGAGAGTGACACTATAAACCTAGGACCACAGCACGAAACAAGCCCCGAGACTGGTATAGCACATCCCCTAATCCCATAAAAACCCGACACATTTCCCTCCCTAACCATCCTCTCTCACACCGTTGCCTAGCATGCCTCGTTTAGTCAAGCGCTCGCAACTTCCTCTGTATGTTAAGCGCGCGATATGTAACTGCCACGCCACCCACCCTCTCCTGCGCCAGGAAGACATCGCCCGATTGTGCTTGACGCGGTACGGTATCCGTCCCGATCGCTCGACGATCGGCCGCATGCTTCGTAACGAGGCCCGATGGATCCGCTCTTCCGAGAGCACCAATACCACTCGAGTGCGTGGCGGGACTCACCCGCAACTAGAGCAGCGCTTTCTTTGTTGGATTGTAAACGCGGGGGAGGACGGCGTTCCTCTGACATTGGCGACCATCCGCCATGACGCGGCCGGAAGTGCCCGCGACATGGGCATTCCCGCCTCCTTCCGATGCTCGGTCGGGTGGGTGCACCGCACCCTGCGGCGCACGACATCACGCAGTGAGGCTGCCGACCAAGATCTCACGGCGATCACGACATGCCAGACCCAGGTACCGCAGCTCCTCATGCATCTCGCTGTGGTACCGGCGGATGTTTTCAACTTCGACGAAACTGCCCTTTATATCTCGGTGCTCCCTCGCAAGACGTACGGCACGGCGCGCGTGGCTGGCCGCAAGATCCCCAAGGAGAAGCTCACGATGGGCTTCCTTATTAACGCGGATGGCAGCCACCCGTTTCGTCCTCTAGTTATCTCTAAGTCGAAGCGTCCGCGGGACTTCCGCCCGGACTACGACATAGAGCTCTTATGCTACTGGAGGTCCAACACGAGAGGGTGGATGACGTCCGCGGTATGTGGAGTGTATCCCTAGTTTAAAAGATTGCATATGTATCAATACATTACACTATTTCATTGCGTCCTCTTCTCTCCCTCCAACTCCCCACTCGCCCCTCGCCTTCAGCTCTTCACCCATTTCATGGAGCAGCTCAACGCGGTAATGTATGCCGAGAAGCGGCATATCGTCATCCTACTCAACAACGCGACCAGCCATGTGCTCAAGTCCGAGACGACGACGGCCGAGGATTTGTTCGGGTTGCGCACCCGCTCGCTCTCCAACATTCGGCTCGTATACCTCCCCCCGAACACCACGTGTTTCACTCAGCCCCTTGACTAGGGGCTGGGCGCCATGGCAAAGACGCGGTACCGGACGTACTGGCTTCGCGCTTTCACAGGGGGCGATGACGCGCTTCTGTTCCAACCTCCGCGACTCGCTCTCGTGGCTGAGCGATTCGTGGATCACCATCAACCCGTGGACGATCCAGCGGTGCTCGTGGCGGACCGGCTGCCTCCCTGCAGAGTGCGAGATGCAGCTAGAGCACGTGGGGGTGGCTGCTGATGCTGACGAGGAGGCCGGGAACAAGCTCGAGGAGGAGCTGGGCAACGTCGGCGCGTTGATCCGCCACCTCAACGTCGGCTCGAGCACAATGCCGGCGGCGGAGTTTGTCGCCGTGGACGACATGGAGCCGACATGCGACGAGCTGGGGAAGGACCTGCTGGCGGTCGAGCTCGCCAGGGAGGCGTCGGCCTATTCTTGGGACCAGCCCATCCTGTTCGCCGGTGTCTATGAGGACACCGACCCGGTGACGCGCGAGGCAAGGCGCAACGCGAGGGCGGCCTGCGAAATGCTCAACGGCTACTCGCGGGCCATCGGGATCGAGCCGTGTGACCTTTGCCACCTCTTCGACATCAGCAACTTGATCATTGTGGAGCGGCTCGAGAGGGCAAGCCCTCGTTCCGATCTGAATGGGCCCGCCGCCGTCCCACCTCCGGAGCCTGCTCGTCGTGGTCGCGTCCTTCCGGCATTGGTGACGACTCCGTCGCGCTGTGAGCAGTTGACCAATGGTGGCATCACCGCGGCCATGGGAGGCTACCCTGATTCGGCCGAATGGTTCCACAACAAAGTGATGATATGACGAGCACGAACAGCTGAGTGAAAAGGTGCACACCTTTTGCACTTTTCACTAAGTCATTTGGAGTTATAACTGACTTCCAACTAGCCATCGTGTAATGGGCTGTTGGGTTTTACAGCCCTGTTCGTTATGAATTGCGTCATTTGTTGTATGTGTTGTTTATGCATTCATAATGACGCGTGGTAGCACGCAACATGAACCAACAACAAAGTTTTCAACGTGGCAATATTTAGGAAAAAACAAACAAGTTACAACCCTTGTTTTTCACAGACCCATCTGCCTCTTGGCGAAGTGGGCGACCTGGACGAAATGCATTGCTCATTATATACCCAACATGACGAAAACCTTGTGGGATTAAAACGGGCATCTGGTGTATATGATTTCGGGCAAAGGCAAAAGGAATATGTCAGCCGAAACGGGTCGTCAAGCCTGACGACCCTCTGACGACTTGACGACATGCTGCCCCGGCCAGAAAAAAAAAAAACTAAAACCCCATCGGATGGCATGCCATCCGAGGGAGCCTCAACCCTAAACACCATGCCTCCCCGTGTTTAGGGTTGAGGCTCCCTGACCGGATGCATGCCCGTCTGGGGTTTATTTTTTTTGCCCGCGGGCAGCGAGCTCCCCCGGGCGGACTCGCTTGTCCGCTGAGATATTTTCGGCGGTAGCGTGATCTACACCCTCTTCCGCGCTAGCAGAGCATCTGGTTGTGGTACCAGAGCTGGTTGTAGAACGTCACCACGTTCAGAATGGTGCTATCACAAACGGTACAAGAACGTTTGTCGCGATAATGATGACAAGGTGTAGAATGCTCAGGTGGCGAATTTGTCAGTAGGGAGCTGGTTTATGGTTGCATAATTTGTCTCGATTTCACAAGATCTCGGGAAATTTGCTGGCACGAGTGATCAGATTTGTGACGGTGGCATACGACTGGTGGAATTGGCGGAACAGCTGTCTTGTGCACTGTTCTATTTCTGCTGGACCTTGACAAGCTTGTGGCTGGTTTGTCGCTAGCCCAAGTACTGGAGCACGAATCGCGCAAGGTGAGAAGGTTGAACAAGAGGGTGTATGGGTTTTCTTTGTTCGATCTGATTTCCCCTACAGCATTTTGTTCCATCTGATTTCCCCTACAGTATTGCTGCCAGCATTAAATTCTCCGGGATTTGTGACGCTTCTTCTTTCAAGCCCGTTGGTGACGTCGTTGTCGTTTTCTGATTTGAGGCCCCTGAAACAATACACAGTGAAAATAGCGCTACATCCATCTTAGGTCCCGGTTCTGGGCGAAGCTTGGACACCATCAACCAAAATTTTCCCTCAGTGACGTGTAAACTCATTGGTCATTACACAAGTTGCGAGAAATCTTGGAGCATGGCAGCCAATCAGACGTGTTCATTGCTACCAGAGTGTCCACACTTTAGATGGTGTCCAGACTTCAGAACCGAGATCTTACACCGTAAAACGTGAGGTTCTCAGCACCATTGGGTTCTGTACAACGTAAGGACGTGGTGCACAACGGGTCCAGACCCGGTGCACCGAGGCGTCCCGGGGCGTGCTGGGGCGCCCCAGCTCGCCTCGTGGCACGCCTCCTTCCCAAGGTACCTTTCAGGTTTCTCCCCGTGGCATCGAGGTGTGCCAAGGCGTTCCGCACCATGTAACTTCGGTGATGGGGACTGCAGTACACGTGTACAGTATGGCGTGTTCTTCTGGGTTGCTCCAGATTTGAAGGGGGAAACGATTGGTCAAAGTTTCTGAGCCTAAACATTTCCGGGTGCATAGGGGAGGGGCGAGAAACCGAACAACCTGGTTGGATGTACAGTACGAGCCTACCGCTCGTGTCTGAGCAGACCTTGGAACGCCGTGACGAACGTGGACACAGTTACTTTCTACAGAATGTCATGACAAATCTGTCATGATCGCTGAGTGGAGCCAGCTGGACCAAACAACACCAGTGGAGCTTGGTTCCACCGCTGGTTGTACAGTACAGCATTTTGGAGTACACACGATGCCCGGTTGAGCTCCCCGACCTTGCGTAACTCTCTGGGCGTTTTAAGTGGTTTTTGCATTTCGTCTGGGTCTCGTCAATTCGCAACTAGCAAAAAAATGCTTATAAAAAAATTGTAACTCCGCGTTGACGTTTTGGCCTCGGTCTCTTTGGTCAACTTCGGTTTCTGTGGTTAGTATTGCTCGGGGTGCTTGTAATGTGGGTGCAACTGGCAGGCGCAAAATATACGGGTGCAGGGTTTCCATCCTGTGTGAGTCGAATTCGCGTGCAGTGGGTGAGCATCGACTGTATGAACCGTTAATGAAGTTGAAGTCCACCCAACCCAACCCAACCTAAGCAACTCACGGCATGTGGCAAATTTCTCTTGCTGCCGGACCCTTTTTCGACCGAAACACGTGCGCCAACCAAGAACCCACGCGTGGAATAGCAATCGCCACACCAATCAAAACGATTAGAGGAGATTGCGATGAAGTTTGCTCATGTGGAACTCTTCCATACCTTGCCCCAACTTGGCAAAACCGATCTTGAACACACAGTGTTCAATAAGAAGGCACTGCAAGTTTATGCAAAGCTCTCATAAACTTTTTAACCATTTTCCTTTTTCTTCCCCTGATGCAAGATGAGCATCATTCAGACGCAGCCACCATCGAAATATTTATCAAGGAAAGGTCAGCCCCCAGAAAAAAGAACCACACTCCCCCCGATTTCCCACGTGAGGCCACGTGACATGCGCATGTTGACGCCAGTGTCGCTCGGTAGCTTTGCCGTATGGCTTTTGGCTGATTGTATTATGGGTATGGGCTGATACGAAGTCGTAGAGAACCTTGGTGCAGCATTTTCTTTTTTCGATGCAGAGTACTGGCGGCTCACTAGTGTTTTTTTCGGGGGAAAAAAAAAAAAAAAAAACACACACATTTTTTCTTCTTCTTCTTCTTCTTCTTCTTCTTCTTCTTCTTCTTCTTCTTCTTCTTCTTCTTCTTTTCCCCTTTTCATTTTTTTTTTCGGACCATGTCGGACTGAAATGTTTTTCGGACTGCCTGAGGCTCGAAGCAGGATCCCTCGGGGAAGACAAATAGACAGGGATCCCTACGAGGGGGGAGGTTTGTCGCATGATCCAAGTTTCTGTCCTTTCCCGCATTTCAAGGGTCCTTCCACCATCACCAAAATGTTTCTGACCCAAATCTAGAATCGGCGAAGTCCACCGTCCCCTCTAGAATCTATAGTATACTGTCTCTGGGATAACTTTCATGCTCATCGGATTTCGAAAGTTTTCGGCAGCTGGCAGCGTTTAGTAGTACTAGAAGTTAGTGTCCGAGTGCCGCAGCATAGCCCAGCACGTGGCAGAAAACTTTTCTATTGAAACAGAATTCTATTCCATTCCAGCTGTTGAGCTTGATTCGCCGTCACCCTCGGCGGAAGCAGCACTGATGAGCCGTTCGCTTCATACAGCTGGTTTGCACCACCATTCGCCGTGTGAAAAAATTGAACTTAGTAGTCAGTTTTGAGAAATAGGGTTCTCTGAGAAAGCTCCAGTCACCTAACTCCTCCTGGACACTTCAAACCGCTTAGGACAGGTTTAGGAGCCCACTGCCCCTTTGGGGATAGTAGGTGGGTGTTTTGCAAGGATGGTATCGCAATGACAAAATGTCTGAGCCTTTCCCATATCTGTTTTAGAGGCCACGGCTGGGTCACATCATGAGCCCTTACCAATACAGTTCATACAATTCTGGAAAACGTTTCCAGACCTGGCCATGAGCAAGGCAGCGGCTTCCGGTGTGGTAGTAGCAGTGCAATAGCAGATGGAAAAGAGACAAGCTGGGGAAGCGGAAGTTGCGTGATTAAGGTGGCAACAGCAGATAATGCCGCGAGAGCCGTCGCAGCAGAGGCAGATCTTGCAACCACAGCAGCGACTGCGGCAGCAGCAGTTGCAACAGCAGCAGATGCAGATGCAGCACCAGCAGCAGCCGCAGTTTGTACCACAGCCAGTCTATACAACACAACTGCAACAGCTACATCCACAGCTACAGGCGGCTAAGCAAGCGATTTCAGAGCTACAGCAACCATTACCGCAAGATGAGGCTGCTGCAGGTGGCACCAGTGGTGCAAGGCCATCAGAGTCTGGAGGCAAGCGCACGACATTGACACGCAAACGAAACTACAACCAGCAAGGGAAGTATCGCGGAGTGAGGAAGCGCGGAGCGTCAAGCTTCATCGCAGAGATTAAAGACACCAGTAGCGGGGTCCGCAAGTGGTTGGGCACGTTCCCTTCTGCAGAGGAGGCTGCTCGGGCGTTTGATGAAGCTGCCTTTGAAATACGAGGATCAACTGCAAAGCTTAACTTTCCACGAGAGTATATCAAGGGAAGGGGAGGAGTACTAGGTTCCAATCCTCCAAAGCTACTAGGATCTGCGGCTACGACTAAGATGGAAACGGCAGGAATGGAGGCAGGTAATATTGCTGGGAGTAGTAACGGACTGGGCGCTCTGGAGAAGAAGGATTCGTTTGAACAGGTTGGGAAGGGCGTTTCTATAAGCTCTGGCGCTCAAGGCGCTCTGAAAGGGAAGGAAGTAGAGTGTGTTGAAGATGCTGATGAAAGACAATTGGTGGGAGTGGACAAGCAGATAAAGTCGTGGTTAGGAGAAGGAACAAGCAGGGCGATGGGAACGGTGGCAGCAGGAACAGGGGGAGATCTGGGGACTGTAGGTTCAGCCTTGGTAGGTGAAGCTGCAGGAGGGGGAGATGGAGGGATGTGCCTAGTAACAAAAGCGTCAGAAATCAGTGTTCTGAGTGGACCTCCTGCAGTGAGTCTTCGGATTGGACCTCCTGCAGAGAGTCTTCGGAGTGGCCCGGTATACTCTCCTGATTTTGAGTCGACTAAAAAACCGGCGTATTCTCCTGATCGGAGCTCCAATGTCAGCAGCAGAAGTTCTGAGAAAACCGCACCTGTCTCCTCTGCCCCTTCAGCCTGTGCCTGTTTCGTACACTCCATCCTTCCTGCTACCTCTACTCCATCCACCTCTGCTGATGTGCTACACCCCACCCTTCCTCCTTCCACTGCCCCTTCCATCTCTACTTCTTTCTTAGACTCCACCCTTCCTGCTGCCTCTGCTCCTTCCACCTGTATCGATGTGCTACACCCCACCCTTCCTCTTTCCACTGCTCCTTCCACCTCTGCCACCCTTATACACTCCAGCCGTCGGCCTGCTGGTTGGGAGTGCAGTGTCGATGTTTCTGGGACAGTGATGATGCCAGGAGGGGATGGGTCACTGCAAGAAGCAGAGGATATAGTGGAGTTACCAAGCATCATTGCAGGCCCAGCTTCAACCATGCTCACAAGCTGGCATGCTGAGATGATGATGCAGTATGCGCCTGCCATCGTGCCCCCGTTTGAGCCGCACTCAAGGCGGCATGATCATGGCATGCGGTATGCTTTTACCATGTCCCGCATGTCTTCTATCAGTGTGAGTCCGTGGCGTCAGCATCACCAGGATAAACAGCAGCAGCAGCAGCGGCGGTGGCGGCGGCAGCAGCAGCAGCAGCAGCAGCAGCAGCAACAGGGGCAGCAACAGGGGCAGCAGCAGGTTCAGCGGCTGAACCGGCAACACCCACAGCAGCAACAGCAGCAGAAGCAACACCATGCATCAAGCTTCTCGCGAGAAAGCTCTCTGGATATGAAGGCTCGCAGGAAAGAAAAAGCAGCTGCATGGTGCGCTTCTGCAGACCTTCCAGGAGCTCCATGTCCCATGGAGGAGAGGAGGGAGCAGCAAACGCCTGGGAGCTACACCTCAGACTTGGAAAACAGCTACACAGCCAACCGAATTTTCAGCCCTTCGTTGTCCGATACTGTTATCGAACCCCGTCAGAAGCCTCATTCCGAACCTTCACCTGTGATGTTTCAAAGCCACAGCGTCTCTTCCCCCGTGGAGCTGCGGGTTGCCAGTTCTTCAATCCCTGAGTCACAGCCGTCTGTGGGAAACACTGGTCGTGTCGGTGATGTGAGCGCTGCAAGAGGTGTTGGTGCTGCCTGTGGCATGTGTACTGTGGGTTTCACATGTGGTGTAGGCTGTGTGAATAGCAGTGTGGCTGTTGCTCCCGGTGTTGCCGGTGCTGCTGGTAATGCCGGTGTTGCTAATGATGCTGCTGCTGTTGCAATTGATGCTGCTGTTGCCAGTGCCGACCACCATGAGCAACAGCAGCAGCACCACCGCCACCAGAAGCAGCAGCAGCATTTGCAATCCATTCTGCAGCATCAATTGCACCTAGTGCACCAGCAAGAGCAGTGCCAGCAGCAGCAGCAGTCGCATTTTAAGCAGCAGAATCAGCTGCACTTGGTGCAGCAGCAGCAGTGCCAGCAGCAGCAGCAGCAGCAGCAGCAGCAGCAGCAGTCGCATTTTAAGCAGCAGAATCAGCTGCACTTGGTGCAGCAGCAAGAGCAGTGCCAGCAGCAGCAGCAGTCGCATTTTAAGCAGCAGAATCAGCTGCACTTGGTGCAGCAGCAGCAGTGCCAGCAGCAGCAGCAGCAGTCGCATTTTAAGCAGCAGAATCAGCTGCACTCGGTGCAGCAGCAGCAGTGCCAGCAGCAGCAGCAGCAGCAGCAGCAGCAGCAGCAGCAGCAGCAGCAGCAGCAGCAGCAGCAGCAGCAGCAGCAGCAGCAGCAGTCGCATTTTAAGCAGCAGAATCAGCTGCACTTGGTGCAGCAGCAAGAGCAGCAGCAGCAGCAGCAGCAGCAGTCACATTATATGCAGCAGCAGCAAGGGCCACACACACCCTTCCAGCCAGCTCTCTTATGCCACAAACAGTCTCTTCCCCCAAGAACACCTGCTGCTCTCGTCTCCACACCAACCGCTGCTGCTACCAGCATTGCTGCAAACGTTTCTGGAGGCTTGCGTTCTGCTGCCGGCGCTGCTACCGGCGCTGTTGCCAGCGCTGCTGCTGGCTCATCAGCTGCCGGCGTTGCTACTTACACTGATACAGAAGTTTGGGTCCTTCCTCCTCCCGCCTCTCCACCCACCATCTTCGATGTCACAGCCAGCTTGCATGAATCCAGGAGCACAGAGCAGTGCGGTGTTGAAGCCTTGGAGCATGTTGTCTCTGGGAAAACCTTCAGCAGCACTGAGAACGATGGTGCGGGCGGCACTGGTGGAGATGTCTTGATGCAGGAAGTTACAACAGCAGGCGTGGGGCAAGCATACAGTGTTGGTGCTGCTGAGCATTCTGGTGTGGGCCGTCCCAGTGCAGGCCAGGATTGCGAGCTCGAGGCGTGTGCAAACCAGCTGTTTCTGATTTGCAGACCAGAAAAGCTCTGTCCTCAGCCGCTGTGTGTCGAGCAGTCTAAATCTGGCGAGCCGTGTTCTGCCCAGCAGCAGATCATGACAGGTTTGGACCTTCCTCTTCCTCTTCCTCTTCCTCACCCCTCAGTGAATCTGTTCCTTGTTGAAGATGATCAGATCAATTCCTTTGCTGCCATAGATCTCACCACCCCATTTTCTCACATCGAGAGGACAGCTTGCTATGCCTTTGAGAATTCTGCCGGTGCTGCGCCTTTCATGGGAGCATCAGGCATGTGTTTGGGTGCTGGAGGAGAGGCTGTAGATGTAGGAGTGTCAGCATGTAGAGACGCTTGCCAGAATATGGCTGCTAGTGACACTGATGCTGGAACCTGCATCACTGACCCACTAGAGATGTTCTTAAAGGATAATGGGGACCACAGGGGATAAGCATACGGTAGTGCTACCATAGGAAGCTTGTAGTTTATTTTAGGACATGCATATTTATTATTTTCATTCACTGCCCTACATGAGAAAGGGCACGAGAAATGGGAAACCTGAAAGATGAGACAAGGAACACATGAAAAAATCCACCTGCTCGCGATGGGCTGCTGACGACCCTTCTTGTACAGATAGTACTCTGGTTTTCAATCCATGCAGAGAATGGTGTGGTGATGACTTTCCTGGGTGCAAGCATGATGATAGCACTTTGAGCAAGCATGATGATGGCGCTTCCTGGAGCCTACCTTGTCGTGTCTACATATTCCCCTATCGCGGCTTGCAATGATGATTGTTGTCACAATGCATGTGTACCCATTCGCATCGACACTTAAGCATGAAATGTCTGCGTAGAAATGCAAATACTGTACCGTATGCATTTTGAATTGTACATTTCTGCCAAGACGCGTCGCGGATTTAGCCGTCACAATGTATTTCAGATCGTTGGGATGCCTCGTTTACTGGTTTTTGAGAACGGAGCTGAATACACTGAAATAAAGATAACCAAAAACATTTTACACTGTCGACACAGTAGAAGGATTGTTCTTAATTACACCAACTTGGTTAGAACTTGATGTCACATTCCTCCTCCTCTTTGCATCCTTGCACTCCAATCTGAGAATTTCCAAGAAAAGGAAGGGCACGTGGGGAGTGGAGTGGAACGTAAGTGGGCCTACAAATGCAGATGGAATGGAACAAACTAACATGACAATGCCGAAGGAGTGAAATGTACGGGTGTTCTCACAGTTACAAAAAAAACAGTTGTTTTGTATCACTACGCACGGTTAGCAAGCAAGAGGGGTAGCAAGAAGGATGAGACAAGAAGCACGAGAGGCAAGAAGCACGAGAGGCAAGAAGCACGAGAGGCAAGAAGCACGAGAGGCAAGAAGCACGAGAGGCAAGAAGCACGAGAGGCAAGAAGCACGAGAGGCAAGAAGCACGAGAGGCAAGAAGCACGAGAGGCAAGAAGCACGAGAGGCAAGAAGCACGAGAGGCAAGAAGCACGAGAGGCAAGAAGCACGAGAGGCAAGAAGCACGAGAGGCAAGAAGCACGAGAGGCAAGAAGCACGAGAGGCAAGAAGCACGAGAGGCAAGAAGCACGAGAGGCAAGAAGCACGAGAGGCAAGAAGCACGAGAGGCAAGAAGCACGAGAGGCAAGAAGCACGAGAGGCAAGAAGCACGAGAGGCAAGAAGCACGAGAGGCAAGAAGCACGAGAGGCAAGAAGCACGAGAGGCAAGAAGCACGAGAGGCAAGAAGCACGAGAGGCAAGAAGCACGAGAGGCAAGAAGCACGAGAGGCAAGAAGCACGAGAGGCAAGAAGCACGAGAGGCAAGAAGCACGAGAGGCAAGAAGCACGAGAGGCAAGAAGCACGAGAGGCAAGAAGCACGAGAGGCAAGAAGCACGAGAGGCAAGAAGCACGAGAGGCAAGAAGCACGAGAGGCAAGAAGCACGAGAGGCAAGAAGCACGAGAGGCAAGAAGCACGAGAGGCAAGAAGCACGAGAGGCAAGAAGCACGAGAGGCAAGAAGCACGAGAGGCAAGAAGCACGAGAGGCAAGAAGCACGAGAGGCAAGAAGCACGAGAGGCAAGAAGCACGAGAGGCAAGAAGCACGAGAGGCAAGAAGCACGAGAGGCAAGAAGCACGAGAGGCAAGAAG